TTAGTCCTATTTTGGAAATAAAAACATGTCAGTCCTATTTTGGAATTTCCAAACCTTTTTAATCCTATTTTGGGTAATTTCTCTTAATATTAAATTAATCTGTGAATTCTAGCTAATGGTTTATTTATGATTTATGAGTTATTTATATACTCCGCATGTTTTAGAAATAAATGTTGCGAACAACTTTTCGAAGACGTATCAAAATCTTATAAAACAGGTAAGGAACAATTTCTTATTTGGAATGGTACGAGTCAATTAATTTTAAAAATGAATCACAATTTGAAACGTGACACATTCTCCTAAAGTGTTGTCATACGTTGTACAATGCTCCCCATGTCACTTATATATAGTGAATTAAATTAACATAATGTGAATAATTAAATAAAATTTGATCATACTATTGTGGTTGATATGGTGTGAGGTTTATAAATGTTAAACATGATTGACATTCAACGTTTGTTCAGACACAAAAAATTTGGTCTTATTGTAAAAAGAGAATTCTTTAAATAAGAGTAAATAAGTTATGAAATTCCAAAATAGGCTTTTTTATTCATCGAATAGGAGTAGATTCTACCCAGTTTAGCATTATTGAGCTTTAAACGTGTCATTTTTTTCCAAACTTGGCAGAACTATTTCTATTTAGGGAATAAAAACATGAATGTCCTATTTTTGAAATTTCAAAACATTTTTACTCCTATTTAAGACAATTTCTATATTTTTAATCAGATTAATTTTTGGTTTAATCACTCCGTATTTCATTAGACAGAACTAGGTAAATTGAAAACTAGAGGAAGTACCCCAAAATGGGGAAACAAAACAAAACTAGGTAAATTTGACTCTTATTCACAACTTCATATATATATATATATCACAAACCACAGACAACTAAATGTGTATAACGATCTCGTTTGTTTTTTGGCGGATTTCTGCCTAAACGCTACAATTTGTAGCGTTTTTTATGGATAATCATTACCCATAATTTAGAGAGATTGAGACAAGAAATGAAGGAGATGAATGTGTATAATGAGTCATTAATTTGACTAGAGTTTATAATACCTCCATAAGAAGTATATATGAAGAGATAGTGAGTCATGCCGCTAATATGGGCACGATAGGTCCAACTACATAAAAAAGCTAATCTAGTACTGTATATACAATGAATGTGTAAATTATACAACAATATAAACGTTCTCTACTGAGTGTATGTGTGTTGTTCAAGCCCAATAATCAGTTTTGTAATTAAAAATAATCAGCATTTTGTACAAGGCTACTATCCGAATTCCGAACGGGGGCAATGTGTAATGGCAATGTTTAATGTTATTTTTTTGTTGAAGAGTTTAATGTTATTTAATACAGTATTACAAGTAATACTAATCAAACATGCAACGGATTCGAAAAACTTAGTGACTATAGGCGGGCAGCTCTGGCTATGACCATCACCACCCAAGCTCCGGTCAATACCATCCAACCAATGTACCAAACTCAATGTTACCAGTTATTTTTACTACAATCTCTGTCTTCTCTTTTACACCCAATTATTATTACCATCACACCCGCACCCTTATTTGATAATTCATATTTTCGACTTATATATCAGTCGTATTAGTCATTTTTTGTCAAACAATTAACTTTTGATTTGCATTAAACATGTTTAATTGCATTGATGGTGCGGCAGCAGCCATAAAATAGGTTCATAGAATTAATCCATTCGTTACAAATCCTCCTTTGATGTACAATTAGTTTTCTTTTTTATAATCAAGGCATTCCGGACCGAGGTCTGACTTATCCTTGACGAGATAAAACACAACATTCAGAACCATCTCCACTTCAATCACGAGATGTGCACATTGATAGCACACGCCTGTGATAGTTTAATTTGATGTATAATAGTGATGAGTTCATACTTCTAACAGTGCCCTAATTCTTGGGTCATGGCAATGTTTTGTATTATAGTATGTAAATCATATTCCATTACAATATACTCTACCTAACAATTTAAGTCACGGTCTTCCTTTCCCCAATGCCATTAAGCTTATTATATATGGAGTACAAATATAGAATCTTTACGAAATTAATGAAGAGGCAATATTTCGGGGAAACTCAACACAATTAAAAGAGCAGTTCTGCACCAGTTCAAGCGAGCAAGTAAAAAGTTAGGCTAACCGCAACACAGACCCGTCAATAAATCAAATTCTCCACTATTTTATACGTATTCAGTCTGTGTAAAGAATGTGTATTCTTGTATAGTAAAGCTACGTATTACATCAGTATTTATAAGACTAGAAGTAGAGTTACAGTCTAACTCTATCAGATTGGTTACAACAGATATATACATACGGTTATATCTAGATAAACATTAGCTAAAGATTATTAAGTAAGGATAATAACAAATTAACTAGTATATATCTTTTATACGCCCCCGCAAGATGGAGGATCCGTTGGAGACGCCAATCTTGGAACGAAGATGAAGAAAAGGCGTCCGTCCCAGAGGCTTGGTTAGAATATCAGCACGTTGAGCTTTCGATGGGACATGATGTACACATAAAGAACCTGCCATAACCAAATCACGAACAAAGAAGTAATCTAAAGACAAATGTTTCATGCGAGAGTGAAAAACTGGATTTTTGCAAACATAAGTGGCACTCAAACTGTCAGTAAATAAACGTGGAGTTGCACTGATAGGGATGGCCAACTCATGTAGTAAATGTTGGACCCATAGAAGTTCCGCCGTAGCATTGGCGATGGCCCGATATTCGGCCTCAGTTGAAGACCGAGATACTGATTTTTGAAGGGCCAATTTCCATGAAATCACATTAGAACCCAAATAAAGAATGTAAGCCGTAGTTGAACGACCTGATGTCGTGGTACCACCCCAGTCTGCATCTGAAAATGCAGTAAGATGAAGAGGGGAGCCAGAGCGTAAGAGAAGACCATGACAGACGGTTCCTTTGAGATACCTTAAAACCCGTTTGGCAGCAATCCAATGAGCTGCAAGCGGACCATGCATATATTGAGACAGGCGGTTAACACAAAATGAAATATCTGGACGAGTGAGACCCAGGTATTGTAGGAGCCCAAGTAGACGCCGATAATCAGAGATGTCAAGAGCGTGGGAGGGATCAGCTGATGGCAAGCGTTCATCAGTGGCCATAGGAGTTGAAATTGGTTTGGCACCGTCCATGTGAAATTTGGTCAAAATATCAGAAATGTATTGAGATTGAGTGAGAAACATGCCAGAAGAAGTAGTAATAACCTCAATACCCAAAAAATGATGTAAAACTCCCAAGTCTTTTAGAGAAAAACGGGCAGCAAGTGTAGTCACAAACTTATCAATAAAGGATGGATTACTTCCTGTGAGAACAATGTCGTCGACATAAACTAGAAAGTACATGGTGATACCTTGAGATGCATAGATGAATAAGGATGGATCTGCCTTTGATTTGCGGAAGCCAAAATGAATGAGAAATGTAGAGAGTTCTACATACCATGCACGAGGAGCCTGTTTTAGACCGTATAAAGCCTTCTTGAGATGGCACACATGAGTCGGATGATGAGTATCAATATAACCCGGTGGTTGATCAAGGTAAACAACCTCATGTAGTGTGCCATTAAGAAAGGCATTGTTAATATCAAGTTGACGGATAGACCACCCATGATGCAATGCCAAGGAGAGAACAATGCGAACGGTGACTGGTTTCATGACTGGACTAAACGTTTCCAAATAATCACGCCCAGCCTCTTGTGAGTATCCCTTAGCCACAAGACGAGCTTTGTATCTATCAATCGAACCATCCAATTTTCGCTTGATTCGAAATATCCATTTGCACCCAACAGTTTGTTGACCGGTATTAGGAACAAGATCCCAAGTACCATTTTTTTGTAACGCCGAGAACTCCTCATCCATTGCTAGTTTCCAGAGTGGGTCCTTGAGAGCCTGTGTGACAGTCCTGGGTTCAAGGGTTTGAACAGGGGAATGAACGGTTGACATGTTAATAAAGGAAGGACCATAGTACTTTGGATTAGGATGTTTGACTCTGGTGGGTCGAGAAGGCGGCGGAGAAGAGTCGGGTTGGGAAACTGGAGGGGAAGATGTATTTTGGTTGTTTGGGGTATCATGGGATACGGGTGATATAATATGGGTGTTGGAAGAGATATTTGAGGATTGTTGATTGGATGGAGAAGTTGGCAGTGTGGGGGAATGTGTTTGGATGTTAGTGGTAGGCTGACTAGATAAGGATGAGGCAGGATAAGTAGAGGAATTATCTAGAGGAGTGGTAGCCAACACATTGGTGCGAGATATAAGAGGCACCGAAGAGGAGGTTGTTGACGTATTGGATGGAGAAAAAGAAGGATATATATGATGGATGAATTTGACATGGCGTGAGATATAAAGACGGTGAGAAGACGGGTCAAAACATTTATAAGCCGACTGTGATACAGAATAACCCAAAAATATACAAGGGACAGATTTGGGTTGCAGTTTATGACTAGTATAAGGGCGTAACCAAGGAAAACACAAACAACCAAATGGTTTTAATTTTTGGTAGTCAGGTTCAGTCTGAAACAAACGTTTGTATGGGGAGTCATAATTTAATAATGGCGTAGGCAAACGATTAATTAGATAAACCGCTGTTTGAAAGGCGTGAGGCCAGAATGTAAGGGGAAGAGCAGCCGTGTGTAAAAGGGACAAACCGGTCTCAACAATATGTCTGTGTCGACGCTCAGCAGTCCCGTTATGTTCGGGAGTGTGAGGTGGGGTGGTGAGATGAGAAATGCCAGATAAATTAAGCATGGGCAATAATTTGATAAATTCACCACCATTGTCAGAAAAAATAGTGACAATTTTCTGATTGAGTTTATGTTCAACTAGACGTTTGAATTGAGGGAAAATAGTGGAGACCTCAGATTTCCTTTTTAGAGGATACAACCAGCTATATTTTGTGAAATGATCAACAAATATAACATAATAGTAGTAACCATCACAAGACATTTGTTTTGTACTCCAAACATCGGTGTAAACTAGATCTAGTGGACGAGAACTAGTAAGAGAATTAACTGCAAAAGGTAATTTATGACTTTTATTTATATGACAAGAAGTACAAGTAAAGTCACGAATGGCCTTGGATGATACATTCATGTCACATTTATTCAATAGAGTAACTAGAATCTTATTTGATGGGTGTCCCAGGCTATGATGAAGATGAGACACGGAAGACAAACTGGTAGCATTGATTATAGGTGAACCAACAGTGGTGGGAGCATAATAAACACCGTTGACATTTCTACCCCTCATGATGTGAGTGCCGGTTTTCTGGTCCTTCACAACAAAATAAGAAGGAAAAAATTCCACAGAAACTTGATTAGTTTGACAGAGTTTAGAAACCGAAACAAGATTTTTGTTTAAGTGAGGAACACATAGGACTTGATTAAGAGAAAGAGGACGGGTAGATGTCGAAACAGTGGTTTGACCAATATGAGTGATAGGAAGACACGTACCGTTTCCCAGGCGGATTTCATCAGGACCATCATAAGTTGAAAACTCCTGCAAGGAAGCCACTCCGGAAGCTGCATGATGAGACGCTCCGGAGTCAAAAAGCCATGGTTGAGAAGATCCAGAGAGATCACTGTGAGTCATAGTATTGACAACAGGCGGTGTATGAATTTGATTATCCCGTAAAAATCGGGCAAGTTTGCGGCAATCTTTGACTACATGACCTGAAAAGTTACAAAAACGACAAACTGCACGTGAGCGGCCAGCCGCAGGGACTGGAGAAACACTACCAGAAGAGGACTGAGTCGGACGGTGTCCGGAGTTGCTGCGATGCCCAAAGAGGTGATCTCGCTTGCGGAAATCAGATAAAGCAGACCCAGATGAAGGCTGACGTTGAGTTATATTAGCGGTAGGCAGAAAAGAGGGTCCATCATCTTCAGAATCTTTGAGTAAACGTTCATGATCCGTGAGAATCTCTGAAAGTTCAAGCAGGGGCGTAGCTAGGATTGAAGGTTGGGCTGAGCCGGTACAAAGAATTTTTCAGATAATTTTTTTCACATAAATTTTTAGACTAAAAATACAAAGAATTTTCAAATTTGGGGCGGGCCGTGGCCCGGTTGGCCACCCCTCTAGCTCCGCCCCTGAGTTCAAGCATGGATGTGGGTGTATTACGTACCCGGAGTGCACTGATAATAGATCGGTAATCATCTCCTAACTGATTGAGAATAAATATCTGCAAATCAGTGTCAGAAACAGGATTTTTCGCCAATGCCAAATCACCGGCAATCTCTTGCATGTCTTTCAAGTAAGCCGGAATGGATCCGTTGCCACGGGGATTACGAGAGAGTTTGCTTTTGAGTGCAAGAATACGACCGGGAGAGGCATTTGCATAACTGGTGAGAAGAACATCCCAGGCCTCCTTTGCGGTGGTAACGGCTGAGAGAAGGGGTTGAACAGGTTCGGTGCAGCCCCCAAGAAACGCGCTAATAAGGATCTGATTCTGGCGGAACCACGTGGAATAGCATGGATTTGGAACCTTCTTGGCATCATCGTTGAACTGAGACGGAACAATAAGAGAACCATCGATGTATGGAAGAAGATCAAACCCGATGAGAGTGGCTTCAATTTGCCGGCGCCATACCGGAAAGTTGGTTGCAGATAATTTGATGGGAAAGTTCGTTGGGGCGTTGAGTTGAACAAGAGTGGTTGCTTGTGTGATCTCCATGAGGAGGAGACGGAGAAAAAAAAATGTAGAGAAGAATTCTACAAGGCTCTGAATACCATGTAAAGAATGTGTATTCTTGTATAGTAAAGCTACGTATTACATCAGTATTTATAAGACTAGAAGTAGAGTTACAGTCTAACTCTATCAGATTGGTTACAACAGATATATACATACGGTTATATCTAGATAAACATTAGCTAAAGATTATTAAGTAAGGATAATAACAAATTAACTAGTATATATCTTTTATAGTCTGTCAATTCGATTTTTACTGCAATTATACACCCTCAATATATTAAACCATGAATTTTTTTTTTTAATTAAACTCTTCCTTTTATTATTATATACGGAGCATTATTTTTTGTTTATCTTTTTTGCTAATAAATACTACGTATGATATTAAAAGACGGACATTGCGATGTAAAAATAAATAAATTTAGAGATAAATTTTTATTGTTCAAATATAGCAATTTTTGGAAAAAATAAGGGAAAGATAGTAAAAAGTTAGTTTTGTCATGAGACCTTAATGTTAGCACTTGGATCTATTTAAAAAAATTAAAAATAAAAATTTCCTATTCATGAAATTTCATATTTTTATTCTCTAAATTATATATATATATATATATATAATTATATATATATACATATATATGTATATATTGGTGTCATATGAAAGATAATAAAGAAATATGAATTTTGATATATTTTTTGTAAAAATTAGAATATAAATAAAAAAGATATAATACATTTAAAAAAATTAGGGGTTTTTAATTTTTCGAACCCCACATTTTGGAATCATGTGAATGTGGAGTTTTTTTCGAAATTAATGCTGAATAAAAGAATATTTACCAAATTGATGTGAGGTTAAAACTATTTCCCAAACTACGGTTGGTGAGTTAACAAAACCACCAAACGACTTAAATGAATGAAGGAGAAGCACCCTGCGCGCAGCACAAGATCAGAGAAGAGGCAAAGTGGGACCCAACAAAATAGAAAAATTCCATTTTTTATAAAAAAATGTTGTAACTTTTTAATTTGTACTCCAATTGTTATGAAAAATATATCAAAATTCATAACTTTTTATTAGATTTTATATGACACCAATATTATATATATATATATATATAAATTTAAAAAAAAAATAGAGAGATTTAAAAATAACTGTTTTTGGACTCTTATATATTTTTTATCACAATGGGATTTTTCTATTTTGTTGGGACCCACTTTGCCTCTTCTCCGATTTTGTGCTGCGCGCAGGGTGCTTCTCCTTTGCAGGTTTTGTTAACTAACCCAACGGTAGTTTGGGAAATAGTTTTAAACCCCGCATCAATTTGGTAAATATTCTTTTATTCAGCATTAATTTGGCAAAAACCTCGTGAATGTGCCGCTGCAGCAACTTCTCTCCGTGAATGAAGCGTCTAAATTCTCACTGCATCTATCCAACCAAGTTTGATACCCATAAATACTTGGATTGCAGCAAATATAGGTGTGAAAGCATCAAATTTGCCTTTTCACCCTCATGTTTGCAGGCAGCCTTAGACCATTTGGACTGGTGAGATATTAGGAGTCCAAAATGTTAAATATGGAACTTTTGAACTCCTAATTGTGTGTAGTAGTGGTTTAAAAGAGGTATTAAAAATGGAGGAGGAGATGGAGGGGGTTAAATATAGAGGGTGAGTTTAGAAGAGTGGAAAAAAGAAAAAATAAAGAGAAAAGAAAAAGAATGGCACCCGTGCATGTTTTCTTTTGGTGCGGATGATATCATGCTGGTGTCACCTTTGCATCATTATATCCCATTTTTTTAAACTTATATAACTTTTTTATTTGTCATCTAAATTTTTCAAAAAATATATCAAAATTCTTAAATTTTTATGATCTTTCATATGACATCCATATGTGATATATAAAATGATTTTTTTCTGAAATTTTAACTGTTGCGGTTTCTTGAGCTAAAAAAGGAAACATAAATTTTTAATTCATGAAGTCTTCATAAATAACTAAATATTCTATAATCGAACTTCACTTAAACAAATTCATTTTTTAACCGAAAAATGTTAAAAAAAAAGTTGTGAAAATTATTTATTTTTACATCGAAATGTGTACTTTTTATTTCATAATTATTCAGGGGGAAAATTAAAAGTGAAACATTACTTATAATAATTTAATTAGTGTTTTACTAAGATCATATGTAAAACATATGCAAAGTGTATTTTATTGACTGTGCACGGGTGCAGGGAAAAATAGTATTGACGGTGTCTAAACACTGTTTTCATATGGACGGAGTCCAAATTTAACAATTTGGACTCTTGACCACTACAAATAGTCTTAGATAGACCTAATGGGCAATTGTCAACAACAATAAAGTACTCCGTGTAAATTTGATGAGTAAAAGCTTCTTACCTGAATCCTGATTGGATGCCTAAGGCATATGGTTGTATGGTACCAGGGGCTCGGAGGTGCTTGAGCCCCTGCAGTTGTTTTTATTTTTATTATATATATATATATATATATATATATATATATATATCAAATATAAAATTGTAAATTGTAAATATTTATAAAATATGTGTGTTATACATTAATAACCACTATGTTATCAAAAAGACATGGCAGCGCAGTGGAGGAGGCGTTGCATTAATGCTCGTGGATAATGCAAGGTCTAGGGATCGAATCCCAAATTAATTATTTTTATAATTTTGCATTAATGCTCGTGGATAATGCAAGGTCTAGGGATCGAATCCCAAATTAATTATTTTTATAATTTTGCTTTACTTGTGTCTTTTTTAAGCTCTAAATTAATTGAAAATGTCTTTAAATAGTTGTATTCAAATTTTGGTGATGTACCATTAAGCTCTCTAGTGCACAGGTAGGAATCACAATTTTGCTATGGTAGCTTTCTAATCAAATTGACTCATCGTATTTAATTTCTTTCTTTTTGGTTTCATAGAAAATCTCATTTGATCGTGTATGTAACTAAAAGTGTGATTTCTCAATTTACTTTTCAAGATATTATATTCTAGAATAATATATATATATATGTAGTATATTCTAGATGGTGGATGCATCATCTTTCGGAAACCTTCGCTTTCCCATTAAGTGCCCCTCCAAGATCCCCGAGCTGGTTCCGCCACTGTATGGTACTGTAAGTAAACTGAAGGAATCTTCTCTACAGTTGCCTGGAAAAACAATGATCCACAATCTAAATTTGTAAGGACTAGCTTGGTTTGAATGTTTTTGTTCTCGTCTAACCATTTTGGCCTAGTTTGATCAAATCTCTATGCTTCTTATCTTGTCTAATTTTCTTGTCATAAATACAAGATATGTACTCTGGTTTAGATCTTTATGGTCTGAATGTCTGCTCTGGATCTTTATGGTCTGGTTTGAATCTATGCAGCGCCTTCTGGAAAACAAAGGATGGCACCCCATCCCTGAGGGCCCCCAACACCGAACGACACGATAGGAAGATGTAAATTGGACTATAATCACAATCTGACAAATAGAGAGTGGAGCTTTATCATCGATACTTGTAGGGTTGGACTCGGGCCGGGCGGCCCGAACCGGAACCGGCCCGGCCCGGTCACTGTTTAAACCGGCCCGGCCCGGCGGCCCGGCCCATGGGCGGTTCGGGTCGACCCGGCCCGGTGGCTACCGGTTCCGGGCTCGGGCCTTCATTTTGGTGAACCGGCCCGGCCGGTTTGGGCCCCGTCCGAGCCGGATTTAATTTTTTTTTTTGAATTTTTTTTAATTTTTTGGGTTGGATTGGGTATTTTGGGTCATTTGAGGTGGTTTGGGGTTGAGGGGGAGAGTAGGGAGTTGATTAGGAAAACCCATATATATATATATATATATATATATATATATATATATATATATATATATATATATATATATATAGATTGTGGTTCAAATGAGAACACCCCTTAATATGAGAAGTGAGAACAAATCCTCACCCTCCAATTTATGTTCCGATCTGCGATGCATCAAAGACCACTAAAGGGCATTTACGTATTACTCTCTTGGTCAACCGATCATGCAATTAATGCCTTCCACATTTTTAGTAATGGAAAGAGTTAATTAAATATCATATTTATTTTTTAATTTTATTCCTTCCATGAATTAAGTTGTCCCTTTTAGAAACAAAATGTGAAGCCACGTTAATTTCCCAAAGTAAGGTCTAATATTTGCATTATAGTCCGTAATAAATAACTGAAATGTTTTAGCAATTGTTAACTGCTCTATGTAACCATTGTGTGTTAGATAATTATTATTGTGTGGTATATAGTACTTTATAAGTTCTATAAAGTCCTTACATGTTAAGATATCGAGTAAGAGGTTCGTTCATATGCATTAGATACTGATTCTTGTGTAGTAAATACTCATTGTGATTATATATATATATACTATTATGTGTTAGGTACCGGTTCTTGGGCGTATATTCGTATTGTGCATTAGATATTGATTCTTGTGTGTTATATATTAGTTTAAGTTCTGTGAAATCCTTATGCATTAGATATTAATTAGTTTGTAGTTTTGTGTGTCAGATATTGTTCATTGTGCATTAGATGTTGGATTTTGTGCTTAAGATACTGCTTTTAGTTTTTCTTATATGTATTGTGTGTTAGATTCTAGTTCTTGTGCGTTAGATAGTAGTAGTTGTGTGCCCGATACACATTCTTGTGCATGTCATAGCTGGAGATGTTTTTGTAGTTTATTGTATACATATTATACTTATTTTTTAAAAACAAAATTATATATGACATATTGGTCTCATATGAAAGATAAAAAAAAATTATTTAATTTGATATAATTTTTGTTAAAATCGGTTTATAATTTAAAAAGTTATATCAATTTTTAAACTCAAACATTTTATATGATTTAAGTATTTATTTTTACCTACTTTTTAGGGAGATGACAACATACATCAACCGATAGACATTAAATACTTTTTGAAAATTACTCAAATGACCTTCTTTTAACTTACGGTTGAATTAAGGAGTGGAGGTTGTTTATTAAATGTTTGCACTCCCATGGTAAACTCGTGTATCTCTTCCTTTTTAAGCCTTTGATTTACTAAGATGTGTGGTTAAAATTTGATCTCATTTCTCACAATAAGGAGTGTTCTCATTAGAACCACTCCCTATATATATATATATATATATATATATATATATATATATATATATATATATATGAGAGCTCTTCTCATCAGGCCGTATATATATACACGCAGGCAGTATATCTGTAAAGGCTTACTGCACATTCCCTTAAAGGCAGTATATATATATGAGAGCTCTTCTCATCAGGCCGGCCTGACGGGCTGCCCCGTCCGGCCGAGCCCGTTTGGGCACCTTCCCGGTGGAATTTTTTGATAAAATTTTTTGAGCATGTTCTTCATCAAGTCTAGTTTGTCCATACCAAATTTCAGCTCAAAATTCGATCGGGAAGGTCGTCAAATGATTTTTGCAAGTTAACTGGTCCGGAAAATACATATTCCGGACCAGTTAAATTGCAAAAATCATTTGACGACCTTCCCGATCGAATTTTGAGCTGAAATTTGGTATGGACAAACTAGACTTGATGAGGAACATGCTCAAAAAATTTCATCAAAAAATTCCACCGGGAAGGTGCCCAAACGGGCTCGGCCGGACGGGGCAGCCCGTCAGGCCGGCCTGATGAGATGATTTCTCTCTCTCTCTCTCTCTCTCTCTCTCTCTCTCTCTCTCTCTCTCTCTCTCTCTCTCTCTCTCTCTCTCTCTCTCTCTCTCTCTCTCTCTCTCTCTCTCTCTCTCTCTCTCTCTCTCTCTCTATATATATATATATATATATATATATATATATATATATATATAGAGAGAGAGAGAAATATTCAGGTCAGGTATACCTGACCACTGCCCCCCGTCCGGCCTCCTCCATTTGGAGGTCTTCCCGATGGTATTTTTTGCTCAAATTTTTTGTGTAGGTTCCTCATTAAGTCTAGTTCATCCATACCAAATTTCAGCCAAAAATTCAATCGGGAAGGTCGTCAAATGATTTTTGCAAGTTAACTGGTCCGGAATATTTATTTTCCGGACCAGTTAACTTGCAAAAATCATTTGACGACCTTCCCGATAGAATTTTTGGCTGAAATTTGGTATGGATAAACTAGACTTGATGAGGAACATAGACAAATAATTTGAGCAAAAAATATAACCGGGAAGGCCCCCAAAAGGAGGAGGCCGGACGGCGGCTCCGGTCAGGTATACCTGACCGGAAGATTACTCTATATATATATATGTATATATATATATATATAGAACCGAACAGAGCCCGGCCCGGCCCGAACCGGAACCGGGGTTACCCAGGCCGGTTCCGGGCCTCCCCTACCTTGAACCGAGGCCCGGCCGGTTCAAGGCCCGAACCGGGCCCGGCCCGGAACCGGTCCACCCCTAGATACTTGCAGAGGTCCTATGCATTTTTAGCATAATAACCTCTCATCGCAGTTGTCGGGATTTGAAGCCGAGACCTAACCCTTGTGACACTCCCTCGCTACCAGTTGAGCTACGCCCACCTATGGGTGGACCCCGGCCGGGCCGGTTCCGGTTCGGGTCTGGGCTCAGCCGGGCCTTTATTAGGGAATGGGTGAACCGGAACCAGCCCGGGTGGCATGCGGGTCCGGGTCGGGCCGAGCCTTGGGCCACTTGATATATATATATATATATATATATATATATATATATATATATATATATATATATATATATATATATATATATATATATATATATATATATATATATATTTTTTTTAATTTTCTAATTTATCCCCGACCCCCACCCCACCCCAAATGGCCCAAAACACCCAGCCCAACCTAGAAAAAAAATTGGAAAAAAAAAACGGAATCGGACCCAAACCAACCGGGCCGGTTCGTGTTTTGGGTGACCCGAGCCCGGACCATAAACCCCCCGGGCTGGGCCTACCCGGACCGGTCCCTGGCCGGGCCTACCCGGACCGGTCCCTGGCCGGGCCACCAGTTCGGGCCAGGAACAAATAGTGTAGGGCCGGTTCCAGGTCGGGCCACCCGGCCCGAGTCCACCCCTACGCCCACCGGTTATGCAGCACCTTCTGAATGTTTATGGTCCGGTGATCTGGTATTTTTAAAATAAGAATTATGTTTAAAAAGGTGAATGGAACACCACCTTAAGCTACAATTATCATGAGAGGCACAAAATAATACGTAGTACCTTCTCTAAAAACTTAAGTTGTAAAGAACCTCGGTGCAAAGGAAAAAAACTTGAAGCCAAGAGGCCCAAGAAAAGCGTGGCTTGCTAGGCTGTCCTGGTTATTTGTAGCGAATATAAAAATGCCCTATTTGCATGAACAAACAACATTTAGAATCTAAAATTTGGGGAATCTCCAGGAGACCAGGACACAAATACTCTTTCAGACATTTTGAGTGTCAGTACAAGCCGGCCAAAATATAGCCACTACGAGTCTATGGATATATATTCGTATAATTGGAGGAAAAATGAAGAGGCGTGAAATAGAGAAGTATCACATTTCAAAGTCCCATGTGGTCTCAGCACTCAGCTTTGGCATTTTATGATCATCTGCCAGATTAAGAGATGCAAAAACCTGATGGCATAAGAGAGCATAAAAACATCGTTAAGGTGTCACTTATAACAATGATAAATTTTAAAAGCCGAACCACCAAACAAGTATTAAGATTCTACACGCAAGTATACTGATTCAAACATGCATTCTACAGAAATACAAACAGCCTGTATTAAGACGTAGTGTGGTAGACTGACAAATATGACATGTAGTAATGTAATGCAATAAAGTACTCCCTCGGTCCCTCTAAACTTAGAAAGTATAAATTGTATTGTTGAGGTTTGTGAATAGGGAGAAATAATATAAACCATGGATTTGTTTCTTTAAAGGGAAAGTGACCATCTTTTTGTGATGGTCATATAACGAAAGCTGTCAAAGTTAATACCGTGTCCGGGCTCAGGGAGTCTGGGAGAATAAATCTTCTCTAAGTTTGCATTACTTGCCTATTAATACATTTTCTCGTATTAAACTTTTTTGCTCAAATACAATAATCAACACTACATAAAAAAATACTATGGAGAAGATTTTCAACTTGGGTGAAAAGAGCTAAGAATATGAGCTTCAGGCTATGTTTGCTTGACAGAACTAGAAAATCTTTTCTTGATTTTCTTTTGTTTGGAAAGTGTTCCAAGATTCTTTGAATTTCTTTGGAGAGTGACTTCCACTTTCCAAAAGTGGATGTCATGTTTGTAATTGGCTTTATTTTGTAGGAAACATTTTCCAGATCAACTCATTTTCATGCAATAAAACATGACCTAAGATTCAATTTTGTCCAAAATGAAACATTAAATAATTTAAATATGGTCATTATGCTTCAATATCATTTTTGAAATACCTTACCAGCAATTAAAAAAATTGATGTATTTGTGATTCAAAAGCACACTACTCCACATTTGATTTCTCTTCATCTTTATTGTTTCCTAAGTAGTTAACTCGCTACTCGGTAGCTACTCGGTCAAGGGCCGAGTAGCGAGTAGGACCGGTTACTCGGGATTACTCGGTGATTACTCGGTCATGTATTAATTAAATATAATAATATAGGTGCCTGAGATTATAGAAATATAATAGTCTTAAAATAGTCTTTAAATTGTCTTAATATGCATAGAAGTGAATAAAAAGATAGAAATCCTATTATCCTAATGATGGAGTAGCAAAAGTCGTAAAGAAAAAGTCATAAAGCAGTCAATCATCTAATAAGTTGGTCTGATATTAATCTTCGTTGGGTTCAAGGTCGTGATATCCTTCTTCCATCCTCCATGTCCCCAAATAGATCTTCTCCAAATAGATCTTTAGTAGTCAGATTCCACACATATTCTTCCTCTTCCACTTCCGGGTCATCTAAATCAATATCTATGAGTCTATACGCAGACTGAGCAGAGTTCATGACTATAAATTAAAAGATTTTGTGTGTGTATTTATCATGAAGGAGAGGAGGGGAGATAATAAGAAATTAGACAAGGGAGAGGGGAATAAGAGGTGATATCAATTCTGACTAAAGTTCCAAACAAACACACTGCCAAGGAAATATTAATTTACAAATGAAAGCTTAATATGAAAGGAACTAAATAACTAAGAAACTTAGCAGCTTGGAATTCTATAGGAAAAAATTGCGGCTACAGTAGTTTGGATAATCACATGATTGATTGATTTTTTTTAACAATGGAAAACTTAATAACTAAGAAATTTAATTTTTTTAACAATCGCCGTAGCACTGTAGCACTCACAGCTCCTTCCAGTATCATTGTAGCAGTCGCAGCTCCTCACAGTAGCGGTCGGAGCTCCTGAGCTCCTGGCAGTAGCAGTCGCAGCTCCAAATGATGTAGCAGCAGTAGTCGAAGCTCCAAACGGATGACCAGTAGCGATTAATTTCATAGGTTTTGTTTGCACATGTCTTTTTTTAATACCGAGTAATAGCTGAGTACTCGCCAATTTGACTAACTCACCGAGTTGACTAACTCGCCGAGTACTCGGCGAGTAACTCGGAAAATTAACTCGGACCGAGTTAAGGTGCTACTCTGCAAGGTAAGAGGCCGAGTAGCGAGTACTCAGCGAGTACTCGCCGAGTACTCACCGAGTAGATAACCCAGATTGTTTCCATTTTGTTTTTATTCTTCTCTATTATTCACCAAAATATTCAACATGATAAAAGTTCTATAATAGGCCCACAAACTTGTACGGTTGTATCAAAAACTCAGTTATGACACACACAATTTCTTAGGAAAACATGTACAAGTATGTGGCTTAACTGATACCCACAACATCAATTGTACATGGACTCGACCTTCACCATCAGCCATACCGACTGAGACGGAGGAAACAATTGTGTTGAGTCCTCCAGCTTAATTGATGTTGCCATTTAGTAGAAGCTTGAAGGTGAAAAAAGATGAAGTCCAAAAGCGTGCGACATATTAAATATTCTAATGATGGCAATGACATGAATAACTCAACTTAAACAGCTGCATGTGTGTTTTGTGAGTGCAAGGGCCTAGCCGCCTATATGACCCTTACCCCAATACTTAAGCAATTTTGATATTTTATAAATGTAATAAATCTAAAATGAGTACAATAATCTTGCTACCCAAACAAACCTTGCTACCCATAAAGTTTAGAGTATTTAGTAAATCTGATGATTTTTAAGAAATAATTACATAAATATGACCAAAATAAAGATGATTTACAAAAACATGATTAGTTACTAGAGTAGTAATGAAATCATAGTAATTCATGTTCAAGTTTTGAACTTAAGTTACTACAACACTACGTTGTAGTAATGAATAGTCATATTTATGTAAATAAGTTTTATTTTAGTAATATTCTTATAAAAAACCCGATTTTTAATGTAAAAAATCTAAAATAAGTATAATTGACTGGTTAACCACAAAGTTTTGATAAAGTTGGTGTATAAACTGTGAAGTATAACAGGAGAGGTGAGACAGGAGGGGAAATAAAGAAAAAAACAAAAACATTAAATATGATTGGTAGCAAAAATTTGTATATACCACTAATGCCACATAGGAGAGCTTTGAATTTAAATATAAATTAAAACACGCAAAATTTATGCATATAAATATAAACTATATATATAATGGGGGTACGGTGGGGTTGAGTAGGGGCAGCTTCCCCCCTGCACCCTTTCAATCCGCCCTTGCCCCCCTCCAAACCCTCCAACTCGCAGGATGAGCAAACCCTCGGTCAGACCCAAAATTACTCTGCCCTACTGATTATGTATGTTACTTCAACATAGTAAGTAATAGCTTATTTGAAGAGGGAATGGTAAACATGTGGTGTTTATATACGAGTAGCTATCAGGTGGTAGTATTGCTAGATTTTGTTAGGATCGGAGTCGTGAATAAAAAAGTGGTGTATGCGCAAATTGTTTTGTATTTCCTTGGAGATTCCTAGAAATTGATGGGTTCGAAAATTGAAACCCGAAACAGAAACAGAGATATAAAGCACAATGGGGGAATCGTTTTTTTATTTTAAGTATCTTGATAAAGGAGAACCATGACAAATGATTATATGGTTAAGTTATTAGTTATCACCAGTGGTCTCTGTTATGTTTTGTAAGATCTACTTTTCTTTTTAGTCGGTCTCAAAACAATACTGAGTTTCCTAATCTAAACAACAATAAACTTTTTACCTTGAACAATATATCCTTTAATCTGTCCACGTGGACCCTCAATTTTTCTTTACTATTTCAAAAGTGTTATCATATTAGCTAAATAGTCAATTTTGTTCTTAAAAAGCATGTCAAACCCAAGTGTATCTAATACATCGGGATTAAGAGTACTGTGTATTACAGTACTACACTACTACGGGTTGGTTTGCAACTGCTTTTAAAAAAGCACTTCTCAACTTTTGGCTTTAAAAAACACTTATTTTCCCAAACGCTACAACTTTTATTTTTCTCGGCTTCCGCGTCAAAAGTGCTTTTACTTTTTCTATTACAAAAAAAACACTTATTTTACCAAACACTACCCACTTTTACTTTTCAAAATTATTTTTTTCGCAAACACTATCAACTTTTATTTAATCACTTCTCCCAATTTCATTAAAAAAGCACTTTTTTACATATTTCACAGTAGCATTAGAGTTATGTTCTGATGAAATACTTCACAGCGCCCAACTGTATTTTGTAATAAAGACATCGTCTTTATTAAGATTCCAATGCTCTTTGCTACCAATGTTTTGACAAATAGACAAAGGCAGTTTTTCGTAAGTCATTAATATGGTATTAATTTAGCAATAATTTTTGGACAAGAGAAAAATGAAAAGAATGATATTAATATATTTTGATTGAAAACTATTTTATTTCAACTTGTTTTTAGAATGTAATAAACATACTCTGATTGAATGGGGTTGAGTGTTTGCGAAATGGGTGATATTAATATACCGTAAGTTTGACCCCACTCAACAAATTCCTGGATACGCCATTATTTGGTAGACTAGTGGGCTTAATATCTATCTTGATTTATATATCTGAGATTTTACAAAAATTCAAAGATTTGCATAATATGTCATTGTATACCACATCAATCACCTTTTCCTTATTTCTATGAACATTGTAATTATCAAGACTAAAGGAGTTGAAAGCTAATAGTAGTGTTTTCAAACAAGTGTTTCTACTTAATTAAGCACTTGAAAGCTTAAAAGTACCTTTTCTTCAAACACTCTAACTTCTACCTTTTTAAAATCTCTTTTCTTCAAAAACTACCAGCTTTTATAATTAAGCACCGTTTAAGTAATCTTTAAAGTAAATCAAGTATCCAAAGTAGCCACATATACAAACTCTTTACAACTTCCAAATCCTTCCTATCCTAAACCATACACAAAAGACCTTAAGAGTAAATGATTCAAATGGATGAGAAGCGCTAAATCATGAGAATCCAGTGGGTAAGTAGGTTACTTTTGCATGAACTGATGAAAGATATCTTAAAATAAGGAGGTAGACTATGCTAGAGTGCTATCTTCTCCTTAAATCAACAAAATGAAATTCATAAATATACAACAATTAGCAAATCCATCACTTGTCTGCTTCACTACATATCCAACAAGAAAAAGTAGGAAGTGGTAAATACATATAAATAAATCATGTGAATTCGTATTATACAGGAGAAAATATAAATGAACTTCATTTGAGTCTCGGTATATAAGAGCACAAATACAACTCTAAATTCAAAGGGCCGCCAACAAAAATTACACTAAATAAACCACATATTCTTAAAAAATCTGCAAATCTGTAAAAAGACCATGTGCATATAGCAGATCATCTCATCCAACAGAAAACGTTATTTAAAAGGAAAAGGGTTAAAACTTTGAGAACTAACCAACAAAAAATTCCTTGTGCATAAGAAAATTGTAACAGATGCAACCAGAAAATACCAAAATTAAAATGCATCACGCAAACAGATAAACAAGACAATGGCCACATCAAATTACCTTAAAAGAGCCATTCAACTTTGAGCTCCTGGACCATTCAAGGGTCACATTCTTGCTAGACGGCTGGTACACAGCCTTCAGCACATCATCACCGTATACTCTCTTCGACATAGAAAAATCCCACTCATTCTTGGCGAAATCGTAGCTCGGCTCAAAGGTGGTTAGTCCCTTATGCAGAAAAGTATACTTCAGCTTACAGTTTCCAGACCCAATCGTGTGATTAGCTGAAACCTTGTTAGCCGGATCCAAAACCAAAGTCCCATTCAAGACTGTCCGGTTATCTCCTTTAAAGTGGACGTAGTTCAAATTCAAAGGCTTCTCCAAAACCCTAACTGTATTCATGAATTGAAACCTAAGGTCCTGAAAAACCCCAATAAGCATTGGGGATATTAACGCAAGAGGTTAAATACAAGGAAATTGTAGGGAACCGGATTGATATGGAGTACCTTTTTGGGGACGTTGTAGTCGATGATGAAAGAGCCAGGCTTTTCGACTGCAAAAGCTAAACCGTTCAGAGAGGGGCCGTTGAGCAGGGTGGCGTCAGTCATAGTAGCGCGAAGATTGATGTCGCCGGACCTGACGGACACGGTGGAGGTGGCCGTCATTTTGTCCATTTCATATCGGGCTTTGAGCACGCCCTTCATTTTTCTCCCACTTCCTGGACAGACAGAAACGAGACGAGAGCTCCTCGAGTTCTCAGTTACACGCAGCTTTATCACCAAACGAACAAGACGGTCCCAACTCCCTAAATTTATACAGTGCCTCCCTCCTATAGGTACCCCAAAATTGTACCCCAATTTGTACTCACCCCTGAATTGCTTGTGTACACAGGCACTTCGTTTGAAAGAGGGCAGAACTTTCTACCCAAATGTCTGTGTACATAGACGGTGTACACTTTGGGGTACAAATTGGAGTACCCCAAGCAGCTCTCTACTCCGTGATATTCTCCTATAAAACTTTCCAAATCAAATTAATTCCACTTTTAATACTCATCTTTCATTTTATCCATTTTTGGTCTATCTCTAGGCATTTTTACTACCGAAAAAGTATTATATATGGTCAATAAAACAATAGTAAGGTATCAAAAATGGATAAAGTGAAAGACAATGACAAATTGTGGAGTTGGTGCAAAACTCGAAGGACCATAAGTGGAATTTCTTTTAAGGATTATGGAGTACGTAGTACTAGTATAAAATAAGAAAATAAAAATCATTAGTTGAAATTTGTACACAAGTTAGAAAACCGGTGAAAATTATAGGGATTATATTTTTTATTTATCATACTACTATGAAATAATGGAATTTTCACTTCCGTCATTTGCAATGGAGTCAAAGATTTACTATTTTTTACTTGTTATTATGATGGAATAAAGCAAAATGGTTCACTAAAGTGTTTGTGCTTCTTTCTTATGAAGCACCAGTCAATTCATGCAATTTCTGACGCTATTTTCATCGTGGGTCATCCGGAAACAATCTCTTTGTACTTTAGTACAAGGATAAGACTACGTACATCCGACCCTCCCTTACCCTACTGTAGGTGGGGGAGCCTTTGCGACACTGGGTAATGATGATCATGATATGAAATAATGGAGTTTTCACTAACAATACAATCTTAGTATGATTAATGTTTTTGTTTGTGATATGTAATGATTTTACAATATTATCTTGAGTGTTGAACCATGAAAATTTATGAATTATATCCTCTGGTGTTATTTATGGTTTATATGGTGTTAAGATATCATGTAAAACTAATGACTAGTTGGTGGTTTCAAACTACCTGATTAAATTAGCAAGTGTGTGTATGTTTGAAACAAGTTTCATGCATGAAATTCATTTTCTATTACTCTCTGGAAATATGTTTTGAACTATGTGTTATGTTTGATTATTTTTTACGCATTACAAATGATAGCATACACGATGTTCTTACTGGTTCATACACTTGGTTTATTAGAACTTTTGTTACATTATTCCTATATGTAATTCGACCATTTGTTATATTAAGTATTTTTATTATGTCTCTTTTTATTATTGAATCCACTTTCTATCCTTATTTAGCCTTGTAATTGTAATCACATGAGTAAAGGATCTACTAGTAACTATAGTAGCACAATTTGATCAATTGCTCTTTTTGTGTTGTGCTCCTTGTTTTGTATTATAGTCATTATACATTATCCATTAAGTTTCATGTATGTTCGTTGTTCTCTTGAAAGTGGAATCATGCGCTTAAATATGATTGTTGCTTATAGCACAATTTAAAAATTTGTTTCTCTCTAGGTAGCCGTCTCCACTAGATTTAGGGGTTGTTTTTCTCCGCTTTCGTCTTTGACAAAGTGCAGCTTTCGTCCACCTTTCGTGAGACTCTTTTCTTCGACAGACCACAACGTCTATATTGAGGCCAAAGGTTGTGTACCCCTAACAGCAGGTGGAGAGTTTCGAGGGCGTCGTTCATGGTTTAGATCAGAAGATCATGGATGAAGCATGGGACTAGGGGCTGGAACAGATCTTGATCAAAGGCAAGGAGCGGAAGAAGCTACAGTACTGTTGGACCGTCCACCTCCTGAACCGCCGTCATGGAGTGTAGGAGAGTTTAGGGTTTGGAAGCAGTATTTTAATTTTATTGTTTGTTTACTATTTAATTTTCATGATCATACTGTTTATTTTTCTGTTGGTTACTTTTATTGTTGTAGGACTACTGCACTAGGATTGGGTGATGTGAAGTCTGCTTTAACCGTCGTTGGCTCATTTATGCCCATTAGGATCAGCGAGTTCAGGGGTGGAGACAGGGGGAGGCTGACGGTGGGTCTTGGCCCCTGCAAGAAAAAAAAAATGTGATGTATATATGTGTGTGTGTAAATATTTATAAGCAATAAAAAATATAGTGAAAATTTAAGTTTTGGCTCCTGCTATATAAATTCCTTAAACCCCGGTCCCTGTAACATGTCAATCCTGGCTCCGCCATGAGCGAGTTATATTGCTTTTTGCGAGGTGATTGACTCCAAATCTGATTCGAGAGCCGATGGTTGTCTGTGATCCTTTAATCGTTTTACCCTTATCTGAAATCTGAATGTTGTGATGTTTGTTTAAACATCCGTTTTGAGGAATAAAAAAAAATACGTATGTTGCTTATAGATTAGTTAACCAAACGGTCGTCAAGAACTTTGAAAAACGGAACTTCAGCCTATGTTTGAGTTTTATAGGTGAATCATACGATTCATACATGAACTAAACCTAGTAATTAATAGCCAGATGGTGAGTTTATATTTTGCTAGAAAAGTATTTTTTCTATATATATTAACATTTAAGCTGTTTCTTGAAGTGTTTTAACTAGTTTTGGATATGGTGGACTATGTTTGACTACATTCAATGCCCGTTTGATAGCACAGAAATTGGCTGTTTTGGCTGATTTTGCTGAAATTTATGAAATTATGGCTAAAGTGACTGCATTAGCTGATTCTGCTGATTTAAGAAAAATATATTTTTAATATATATTTTAATAATAAAATAAAGAAAAAATTATACCTGGAGTATGTAAAAATAGCTAAAATGATCGTACAGTAACTTCATCCAATACAACTACAATTCAACGAACGAAAGCAAAAGTTACACGTTTGTTGAAAAAGTTGGCCGATAAACTTGATAAGCCGAAAGGCCCGAAAATCAATATTGCCAAACGGCCTCTCAATATGTTAGTTTTGATTGGCTATATATGATCATGGCTTAACTATGTTTGTCCAGTTTTGCCTAGATTTGACCTTGTTTGACCATATTTGACTACATTTGGAATTTTGGATACTTCTACGTTCTAACTACGTTTGACTAATGCGGAAATATCTTTCCATTCAAAAAAAATGCGGAAATATCTTTTTTAGCAAAATAAACCGTGAAATAATATTCCCTAAACCAATATCGAGCTCAACTGCTCAAGAGCATATTAGTCATTCACAACAGCATGTGAGGGACTATTGCCCATTTTCAGTTTGCCAACATAACCACAACCTGATTGGGTTAGAAGATCAAAACCAATGAAACAAAAAGAACAGCGCAAAAAGGCCGCAAAAATTGTTGGTGCAAATAAAATATTACTGCTGAGCTTTACTCCCTGTGAGAAATCTAAATTCCAATAAGCCATCCATTCCATGTACAGTCTCAATGGTTAAAAACAGTATTTACACCTAGTTCAGTATTTAATCTAGGCTCTGGATCTCCCCCATCATGATTGAGTCCTCGCCACATTAAGCTCAAGCTCCGACTTATTTACCTTTTTTCCCCTTTTTCTTTTCACCCCCTCTCGTGACCACATTCCAAGCACCACCAGCATCGCTGCCCGGACCTGCATCAGAAGTCGCATCTTCAGAAGCACCTTTATCAGTGGAGACCTTTAGATCTTTCAGATTCTCGAAGGCCATAGCAAGAACATCGGAGGCCAAGAAGTCCTTGTAGCTTAGGAACTGGTTGATAAAGTGATGCTCAGGATCAAAGGAGCCCATATTCTGGATAAGCAGCATTTCAGCCTCATATCTGGATTGTGTTAAACAATACTCTAGAATGCTTGTATCTGGAAGACAAACCAACAATAATAATAATGAATTAAAGAAGATTCAAGAAATACAATGGAAAAATAAAACAGCCTAGTGAATGTAACATACCTCTGGACCCAAGGAGCCGTTCACACTCACTTTCACACCACTTTCTGAAATCAGTGGCTTCTGGAATATATATATACACACATATATAATACAATGTGGGTCAATGTTTTTTGCACCAAACTTTTTCAACATAGGTAGTAGACATGCAGTTGTGTTTACACACCTGAGTGCTTTGTTGGGAGAACTTTATTCCCTGCCAAAGATGTTGACTGACCCGGGGCAGGGGTTCTGCCAATCGAATTTTGCTTGCTAAATGATCCACTGGGAATGCCACCTTTAACTGACCCCCAGCTTCCATGGTTGCCAAGAAGAGGAAAACCAGACCTACAAAAACTCAGGCAGAGTAAAAATTCATCACATGCCAGCACATTTCAAGGACACTTAACTGACTTCAATATTCCGGTTTATAATTTCTAGAAACCAAGGTAGTCAAAAGCGAGCGCCTGGGCGCTTAAGGGCACCAGGCGCACTGCACATCAGCCCTATCAACTGCCAGGCGCAGCTATCTGTGTAAGGTGCAGAAGCACAAAAGCGCTCAAGCGCTAAAAAGCGCTCGCTAATCTCGCCTGAGGCGGAAACACAAGTTTAAGCCTAATATTTTAGTTTCAGACTGTTTTAAATAAGAAGCCCATATCTTTAATATGGAGTATGATAAAGGCATAAAGCCCAACTAAATATCTAAATAAAAGGTCAAAACTGTGTAAATTTGCGTTAATCAACAAAAGTCAGTGTTCGCTACTCAAGTCTTTAACTCTCCTGCTCTGCTCTGCTCCCATTACCTCAGTCTTCACTATCCCCACATATTCATCAACTGCAGAAGATGGCAGCACAATCAATGAAAGTAAGTTTTCTTCTCCTTCACTGTTCCATTTTCTTTTTTTTTTTCTTTTTTCAGCATCTACTTCTTATGAACTCTATACAAGTCAAACATATATATTTGTAAACTACCGATATAGTCGTCTATCATGTGTGACTCTCTTTATTATTCCATTTCCTAATCATTTAATTAGACAATATTTTCCATTTTCCTTATTATTGTTCCATTTATCAGCATTTTCTTATTTAATATTTTTATTCATGTACACTCCATATAATCTAATAATCAGTGAATAGTTTCATGAA